CTACTTCTCAGGGGAGAGAGAGAATGCGGCTCCTGGTTGCATTGTGTCGGGCCCGCCAAAAAGTCAACAGTGAACCACAAAACCTTTTCCTCCCAGGGCGTATGTGTGAGTGTGTTTGTGCCCATGGTCCAGTCCCTACACTCGGCTCCGATTCCCTCTCTCTCTCATGTCACGTCACGTTGTGTTTGCTGGCATTTCTCCACCTGGTCGTTCCCTGTTCAGTGTCGGTGAGTTCCGGATACAGCGTAGTTTCAGACGAAATAAAATCCCCCACGATCCTTAGTCCCGGGTCCTGTGGTGAGGAGTGGAGGGGGCGATTTCAATGCGTGATGGCAACTGCCGTGCGGGTTCCATGTTGTCTCTCCTGCAGCTCCATCTCGTTGTAGCTTTATTGCCCGGGAGGCTGTCATGGCTAAACATAGAGGATACGAAAGCCTCGCGAATTGGGACTCGTACGTTGTCTGACAGACACCCCCTGAACTGATTTTGTGAATTTCTGATTCGGGTGGTGGGGGGAGTAGTCTCCGCTGCGGGAAGTCAGGGGTATTTTCGCCCAGTGCCAACACGGGCTCCAACATATGGAAACTTGGGAAGTGAGCTACGGAGCCGCAAAGGACCCCAAACCTGGATGCTGATGGGATTTTTTGTGGTTTATGGTGGTTTCCGAGAGCCTGTGAGAGGCTCGTTTCCTTCGGGACGGACCCGCGTGGCAGGATGGGGTGGACCTGGCAGAATTAATGTCACACAGGACGTACTCCGTCTTGCGTCGATCGGAGCTTTACATTGATTAGGTCTGTGCCACGAACCGCCCCGACCATGCCCTCGACGTCCGGGATGGCGCTTCGGATGACCAGCCATCATTGCCTGTTTCAGTAACCGTTGGTTCTGCCATTGGATTTCTGTGTGGAGTGAGAAGCCCCCGTCATATATTCAATTCCATGGTTGTTTACGCGCCCGCATCACATACGGGGCCCGTACTACGCGGCCAGCGGCCAGCAATCCATGTCGTGGCCTAATCCATCGTGTACTCGATGGCAAGTTGATGGACTCTATGGGAATAGGGTGATCCAATGGCTCGGGTGAGCTCGTTGAGAGACCCAGTTTCTATCGCAGCCTTCAATTGTATATCAACTCGAGGTTGCCTTGGTCTGTCGATCCGTTCTCTCTTGTTGTTTCATTCCCACAGTCACTCATTCTTTCATTCGTTCTACTCTTTTCTACACCTTTTTTTCCAAGATGTTCGCCAAGTCCTTCCTTTTGGCCGCTGCGGCCCTTGCCCAGCAGGCCGCTGCTGTCTCCGTCACCGGTACCCCCGAGGGTTTCGCCTCTGGCACCACCGGTGGAGGCTCTGCGACTGCCGTCACCCCCACCACCAACGACGAGCTGGTCTCGTACCTCGGCGACTCGTCTGCCCGTGTCATCGTCTTGACCAAGACCTTCGACTTCACCGACGAGGACGGCACCGCTACCGAGACCGGCTGTGCTCCCTGGGGAACCGCCTCCGCCTGCCAGGTCGCCATCAACAAGGACTCGTGGTGCGACAACTACCAGTCCAGCGCCCCCTCCGTCTCTGTTACCTACAACAAGGCCGGTCTCAACCCCATCAAGGTTGCCTCCAACAAGTCCATCATCGGATCCGGCTCCAAGGGTGTCATTGTCGGCAAGGGTTTGAGAATCGCCGGTGCCGAGAACGTCATCATCCAGAACATCAAGATTGAGAACATCAACCCCAAGTACGTCTGGGGTGGTGATGCCATCACTCTCGACACCACCGACAACGTCTGGATCGACCACGTCACCGTAAGTGCTCACTCTTCTGGAATCTGAAATTGCAATCAACTAACAACCTCGACTCTAGACCTCCAAGATCGGCCGCCAGCACCTTGTTCTCGGCACCTCTGCCTCCGGCAAGGTGACCGTCTCCAACTCCGAGTTCGATGGCCAGAGCGACTACTCCGCCACCTGCGACGGATACCACTACTGGGTCAACTACTTCGCCGGCTCCAGCGACACCATCACCTACATGAACAACTACATCCACCACTTCTCTGGTAAGTCAACGAGAAAGGAAAATCACATCAGCATAAGCACCAGAAAACTAACTCACCAATCTAGGCCGTGCCCCCAAGGTCAACGGAAACTCCTTCGTCCACGCCGTGAACAACTACTGGTCCGACTCCACCGGCCACGGCTTCGAGGTCACCTCCGGCGGCTACGTCCTCGCTGAGGGCAACGTCTTCAGCAACGTCGCAACCGTCATCGAGGCCGGCGGCGATGGCGCCACCCTCGCCATCACCTCCTCCAACGCTGCCGACTGCTCCTCCAAGATGGGCCGCTCTTGCCAGGCCAACAGCTTCTCCAGCTCCGGCACCTTCACCGGCACCGACACCAGCGTCCTCAACAAGTTTGGCAGCGCCGATATCCCCGATGCCGTTGCCGCCTCTTCCGTCTCCAGCAGCGCTGCTGGTTACGGCAAGATCTAAGTCAGTATCCGCTTTTAGGATTTGACTTTGTTACGCTCTTCTAAAATAAACCATTTCGCCCCGGGTCATGGTTACCCCCAGTGGCAGTGGGATTAGCGGCAGCTTTCGATTCTGTAGATACCTTATCTTCTTTACAGCCTGTATAAATGACAGCCTTTCTTGGAAAAAAAAAAATATCTCGTCTTGTTCCCCTGTGATGTGATGTAGTTGAACCAAACCTGGCTCCTTACGTGCACCATTTTTGGCTTTCCCACGAGTCAGTAGCTATTTTTTGTTTCCGATGTGAAAATAAACAATCCCTAGCAAAAACTCTCACAGTTGCTACCCGCTGTGCGCGAGCAGCAATGTTCAGTGGTTCGTGCGCTTCTCTGCCCGCGCCGTGCGACATCATTTCTGCCCGGAACTCGAGTCCGTTCACCCGGGGGCGATTGCCGCGTGGTCAACCCACCGAGTTTGATTAGACCGGGCAGATGCAACTGCTTGACAGGGAGAAGAATTTTTCTTTTTTTCATTCTTTTCCGTTTCGGCTTTGGGGAATCGTCATGCGATTGTTGTCTTTGGCACAAGAGTGATCGACAAGTTGTGAAAGTTTTGGCATGAATCAAGAAAGTGATACAATTTGGGACAGATCTTCAGGTGCGATCTGATAATTCAGTGAGACCATGAGTATATCATTCAAAAGTTGCCTACATATTCGAACTTTTTGCGCCGCGTTGAAGGGCAATGGCGGCGAGTTGCGACAATGGATTTCGTGTTTAGTCAACTTGAGTGCTGAGACAACTGTCACTATGGGTCCTGCTGGGAACGGGTACTGTTAGCGCTGAGGGGCTGCGTCAAGTACAAGCGACAAGAACAGGAAGCAGTCTCGGAGTGAGTGCGACACAAAACGGATGATGGCCACACCAATATACCTGCGGGCTTACTCGTTCGATCAACAGCTGAAAATTCCTCGATGATCTTCTTGATACATCCCGTTACGTGACGTAATTGCAAGCCGTATTAGACTTGTGTTAAGCTTAGATGCGCGATGAGAGCTGTTACATCCCACGATCAGAGTTGCGCAATGACATGGGTTGATCAGTTCCGTCTTAACTTCGCCTACCTTACGAAGCAACAACTTCCGTTGGCTACCAACACAAAGTAGTCAAACTCGGAAGCAATCATTGGTCACTCACGAATTTATGCAAAATCGCACATCTTTTACCAACAAATGCGGCCATTAAAAGGGCCTAGTAATATTGCCATACAGTTTGGAATCGAGGTGCCCTAGTTGTTACATGTACTAGCTTTTAACCAGCAACTGGCACCATCTCAATATTGTCCAGCCAGAACGTCGCATTCAATCCAAGAGAGAAAGGACATCTGAACTGCGCCTGTATCAGCAAGTCATAAACAGGTGTAAAAGACCCCGACTCAATCGTCTGCCACTGTTGCTCGCAGCCATCCATGACAAAATACCCAGCCACTTGAGTACGTCCCCCATCATAACTAGTCATCGACAGATAGCAGCCCTGACTACTGACAGATCGGACACGCGTCCGCATCACATACTTCTGATATTGCAAACCATCTCCGCCGTACCCAGCAAAGTAGAATAAAGGTCCGCCAGAATTTGCCGTCAATGCCGGTTGATTGTTGAGCCATACACTCCGCGAGGTTGCCGCACCGTTATAACCCGGTGATGCAAACCCGTATACGGGCTTGGCTCCGGAGACGATGTTCCCTTCTGTAGGCTTCTTTAGCCAGCTGGGAAACGTCAGTGCGCCCGAACGAACGTCTGCAAATGTGAGAACGTCTCCGTTCACTGTCGGGGCAACGTTGGTGGTGGGCGTGATGATCTTGATTTCGAGGCTGTCCAAAATCACCCACGCCACTGCACTTCTCGGACTTGCCGCACTAATCGTGACCGTCATAGCATCGAGAGCTGGTGTGAATACAGCGATGATTGTCTGCCAGCTTTGAACCTGCTGAGGGTCGGCTGACTGGGTCACTACTGGCTGAACAGTGGTCGAGGGGGCGGTAAGTTGCACCACGGCAGTTGGGGGAAGACTCGTCGTCCCGCCTAGTTGGCATCGGAGGGAGACCTGATATGTTGCACCTCTCACGACGTTGAAAGTCTGAACGAACTTTGTGGTACGGACGGCGTTGGCGGAGGTGAAAGATATGTTGTAGGCCAGAGGATTTGCGTTGCCTTGGACGTATGAGTAAGTGGTCAGGGAAGAGGTGGTCACCGCCCAGGTCTGGAGATCAGACGTGCTGCCGAATGTCTTTGAGAATGTGGCGGTTAGGTCATTTCGGTAGCCTGGGTTACAGGTGCTTGCTGCAGCTGCGATCGAGCTTGTGGCAGAGCTGGGGACGATGCCATTGCTGCTTCTTGAGCTACTACTGACGGTTGAGCTAGAAGATGAGACTGACACTGAAGAAGTGGAGGACGAGATAAAGGTCGACGATGAGGACGTGGATATGCTCGAGGTGCTCGATGTAGTGGAAATAGGGGTTGAAGAAGTTCCGGAGCTGTCAAGCATTGAGGAAGTTGTGGTTGATGAGCTCCCCATAGTTTCCGATGAAGAGGAAGCAGTGGGCGAAGTCGCAGTTGCAGAAGATTCTAGGCTTGTCAAGGTAGTAGATACTGTAGGACTGGAGGAGCTTGTGGAGGTGATCTGGCTAGATGAAGTTGCTTCAGAGGACGCAACGCTCACCGTGTCAATTGAGCTGGTCGAGGTTATAGAAGACGACGAAGACGAAACGGCAGGCGGATTGATGCTGTAGAGGCTGAGACGATCACCCCCTCCGCACCATTGCGAAGAGTCTCCCACGCAGACGTGCCCACAGTCTTTCTCTGAAGCCATGGAACCGCCAACGGTGTTGCCACAGTAGCACTCTCGAGAGTACTCCAGCCCAAAGTAGCTGTACCCCTGACAGAAAGTAGCACACTTTTCAGCAGTCATATCGTCGGCCCTGTAGTCTTTTGCAGAAAGCGAGCGACGTCCATCCACGTTATCGACCCAGCAAGAGGAATAGTAGAAGCCGCCGACTGTTGCCAGGTTCTTGACGACCGGAATCATTGACGTTTGCGGTAGGGCATAGACTGATATGCGGTTGGCGTCGCCACAGATCTCCGTGCTGTCACCGCCACACTTCATTGCACACGCAACCTCTGTCTGTTTTGTGCTTGCTGCATCTAAAGACATCCCGCAGTAGCACTCTCCTGTGAACTCGACGCCGAAGTAGGTGTAGTGGGAGGTGCTGCAAAACGAGGCGCACTTCTCGAGGGACATCGCGGGATCGCGTACAAGGTCTCCCGTGAGAACGCGCTGAGGCAGGTTGTCGGTGTAGCAACCCTGGTAAATGTACCCAGAGACGGCCACTGCCGCTGCTGGTGAAACGGGAGAGGGCGTTGAACCTTGAGAGGGAGTCGTACCGGGGAGTGTTGATACCACCGGCGGTCCGTATACACTGAGTCTCATGCCGCCGCCGCAGAGCTCGGCATCGGATCCGGAGCAAGGGAATGAGCATTCGGACTCTGGAGCAGTAGACAGCGGCGCAACATTACCGCAGTAGCACTCTCGTGACCACTGCGTACCGAAGTAGGTGTAACCCTGGCAGTGCTGAGCACAAAATGCCGCTGTCATGGTGTCAGAGGCGAAGGGCTTGTTGGGAAGTACTCGATCGCCGTTGTCGATGAAGCATCCCAAGTAGACATGGTCAACGAGCGTGGCGGGTTTCGGACTAGAGAACCCCAGATTGGTGTAGATATCCATACGATTTCCAGCGCCGCAGAGTTCCGACGGGTTCCCAGAGCAGGTGAAGCCGCATTCACTGCGGTCGACCGTGAGCGCTTGACTCTGGATTGTGTTACCGCAATAACATTCTCTGCCATACTCGACGCCAAAGTGGCTGTACTTTGAGCAGAATGAGCTGCATTTCTCAGCTGTCATGGTGTCGTCGGCGGTTGCTGGCCCTCCCAGCGTTCGTTGACCAGCGACTGCATCGGTATAGCATGCCAAGTATGTGTACGAGCCATCGTGGGCCTCAATTGGAGAGTTGCTGGGAAGGGCTTTCACAAGGGGCAATAGAAAGAACAAGAGGTGGGCTGCCGTGTATAGATTGAAACGAGTGCGAGCCATGTTTGTGGCACATGGAAGCGAAGAAAGGGCGCGTGAATGACGGTGGATTGTTTTCTGAGCAAGGCGGGAGATCCTGTTAGATTTGTATCTCGGGTTGATGCAAGCCACTTCGAGAACGATTGAAAGTCAGGGCACGAAGCAGTGAATAGTGCCAAATGAAGGTCTAGTGTAGACCCGAAGACTTGTTACCCCTGCACTAGTACTTTCCCAAAAGTAAGTAGAGCCATGGGGTCGGATTCAGAACTCACTAGGTCTTCAATCAGGGTCGCTAGTGACTTGCCGGCATACCAACATGGCTTAGTGTTGGCGGCATTCACTCTTCTTTGAGTTGGAGTCGCTCGGGGCTAGGTCACGTTGAGCATAAGCTCCAACCGCCACACAATTTCCACAAGCCAAAGCTCAAGATGCACTTTCCCTATTCAGAGCTCATTTGACTATTGATAACTTCGGATTTCGCCATTCAAACCGACGAACCAACTGATCCCTGCGTACTGAGTGAGTCTAGAACCCCTGCAGAGATATCCACATCCGATATGGTGTAGTGGCCAACATGATGCCCTCTCATCTTTGTGAGAGGTTAGGTATAGCCCCGAGTTCGATTCTCGGTTTCGGAATCTTTTGCTCATGCAACTACTTAACTCATTTTTGACGTATGGTAGCAACCATGTGACTATTGAAAATGGTGCAATCCACCCTACTGGCGCAACAAGGGCAATTATTATACAGCCAAATCAACTTGCGAAATTAATGCAGCACCCGTTCCCTCTGCGATTCCGGTATTCGTAACCCGTCTTGATAGGGTTTCGTTCTGCACCATAACTTCTCCCAGTTACGGATAGTCACCTTCCTGTCCTCTGCCCTGCGCAGTGTCGTGGAGCCGGGGCTTGCCGTGCTAGCCAGCATCAGAGCCTCACCGACCGTGGGTACATCCTTTAGAAATCGTTCCAGCGTAACCAAGGGGACATCGAAATCCTTTCTATTCAATCGTTATAATAGGGCAGCAGGACGTGTACTATTGACGCAAAACTTCCTGAATGCCATCGGCCATGGTCGCCAATGAACTTGAACTTTTTGAGATTGCAATTTCAGGTGGTACTTCGAACAGAATTGACTATAACTCGATTCAAGATCTCGTTGTATTGAGAAGTGGTAATCTTGGTTGAATTCTCTCTGTCCCCCCCTATTGATAATTTCAGTTTACTTGATCATCTCCTACTTGATATATGCCAGCCTATTGCGACTTGTGCTCAGTGCTCTTCCAAGACCATTACCATTGCATAAAATCGCGACATGGAGTCTTGAGCGTTGACCGCAACCCTGCCCACAAGCCTCCAACAATGGCAGTCCAGCAGAGCACGAGAACCATCGTTGATGTAAAGAGCACTATTGTGCTTTGGGCTGGTTGTGATTGGTAGAACTTTCTGTACCAACTTCTTAGTCGGGTTCATCCCCGCGAATGAGGGCCCGATATGTGATACACATTAATGACGGTGACCACAAGCGCGTTAGCGTCGGTCTGCAGAAGCTTATTTGTCTCCCCCCCGCTCTTGCCATGAATTTGTTACTATCACAAGCAGAGGTATCCAAAACCATCAAAGTTACAGTGTTAGTAGCTCTGAACCAGAGGGCCGACTTGGCTACACTCACGTACTTCTGATCCACTTTTCTCTCGCAGTGAAGCGCTACAATATATTTACAGAAACGATGGCATCGTCGAACCTTGTCGATCAGGCTGGACAGGCACAGAATCAACGAAGTTCTTCGCTTGAATATCTGACGGGAAGACAACTTCCTCAGCCAGCTCTTCGGCAATCATCGATGGCCCAGAAAACTCAAGATGAGGAGCGAATGGCAAAAGCCAAGACAGCCTACACATTACTGCTTGCCTTGCCGCCACCAAAGCCATTCCGAAGACCAAAGCCATTTCAAAGTCCTGTCGTTGAACAGTAAGATACCTTATCGCTTCAAAAAGCCACAAGCTCTAATTCGAAGCCTGATAGTAACGATCCTGTTATGCGGAGGTTAGTGCTAGCGGCGCAAGACAATTCAAGCCTTCGGGGAATGATACGGCGACTCGCATATGAAAAGGCGCTGCCTCAGGAGCTCGTTGCCTTCCAACAGATTATGGACAATATACAGAAGGATATAGATCTTCGACGACTACGTTCTCTGCTGGACCCTGACGTCACCGAGCTCACGCATGTTTCGGAGCTACAGGATGATGGCCGCTCTGATATTATGCCAATTGCTCACAGCTTCCCAAGCCTAGTCTCAGAGACGCAGGCACATTTCGATGCTAGAACCCGTGCCTCCAGGGTCACATGGGCCGCTTGTTCGGACGGTAAGACCTTCAACGGCTACCCCGCGGACCCAGACGAGGGAGTCAGAGCCGAAGTCAGTGGCAAAGTCTTTGAGGATATAGAAGCGGAAGAACGCTTTCCCCAGCTCCTGCCGCCTGACCCGAAGCAGGACGATCCGTTCACTGATTCCGGATATGCATCTGGACTTAACTTTAATAGTATCCGGGGAATAGAATCGGGAGTTGCTGATAAATACGGCCATGACAGGAATGGTCCGGACGCAAGAACCGTGTACTCAGGAGATAGCACAGTTCCCATACATCAAACGCAGAAGTACATTTCCGAGTTGTCAAGCACCATCCACGGTAGACTCGGTGGGAACATTGACGCTGGTGCTTGGAAGTCACTATCCAAGCGTCTCTTTGGCCTTCTAAAGGACTTTGCCATCAAACTTGGCCTTGAGTCTTCGGCCCAGGTGAACCGAGACATTATGTATTTTATACACAAACGTGGTCGGTACGTGTTCTACTATATCAACTCGTTTCGACAAACCTGCATCAAGACTGAAATTTGACAGTGAGATTGCGACGCAACTTGACTCAATGATCATCAGCGTCGATGCTTCAGCAGATGATGCCGACGAAAGTAATGAAGTCAAGATAGACCACATGCTGCTTAGCGATAAGATGGCGTTGTGGACCAGCAAGGCGACGGAAATAGAGACATCTGTCGACGAGAAAGAGCTTTTCGTGGGAGTCACAGACGTGGAAGAGACCATCGACGCGCCGATACTATCCACTTACAATAAGACTGTTGTGGAGAGTAATTCACTCAACTGGCTCATCGAAAGCCTGCGAAGAGAATTGACACTCAAGCGAGATATTGATGAGTCAGAAGGTTGCAATCATCGCGAAATCATACGGCGCAAGGTCATGGAGAACCTCCCAACTGGCAAAATTAGCAAAAACAGGCCTCCAACGACACACTCTGTAATATTTCGAGTGCCGGGATGGGCGCTCCTTCGCAGACTTCAAGTGGACAGATACGGATCTGAAAGGCCCCTATACGAGGCCATGGTAGTAACATATTGCTCAGGGAATGCCCAGGCAGCAATTGTTGAGGATTACATGGAGCAGACATGGCCTTCAACATGGAAAACGATCTTCAACTTGTTGCAGACGGTATCTCGCAGTTCCAGCAGCGGCGTTCATGCAGGTAAGCTCTTGTTCCGGGCTGAAAATGAATTAATGTTCACCGAAGTACAGATATTTTGCATGACAAGACCCGGGTATCAGTATCGTCTGAACACAGTAATCTAATTATGAGCATTGAAGGTCCTGCTCACACCATTGCAGAGTGTGGTGAGCAGCTTGCCTGGTTGAGGGCTTCACACGCAAACCCACCTTCTCAACATGGTATGAGCAATACCATCCAACGAGTTCCCGTCATCATGAATATGGCTACGCTACATGTAGGCATGAAAATCTAGAAAGAGTGGCGGTTTCGTTTATTCTAACCTCGTCAGGGGCGCTTATGTTTCGATATCGGAGTCGAGAAACATGTTCTTGACGAGTTCGCACTGTTGGAGCAGTCTCGCTGGACAGACTTACTAAGAAACGATAAGATTGTTCTAGTTCCAGGATACCCTATTCTACGCCGACCAAACGCTTTTGACGGTATCGAAGTCTCTCCCCACTATCTGCTGGAGTCACTGGGACCAGTCTCTGGGTCCGCTTCCACAGTCCGCTTGGTCTTGAATGGATTACGAAGAAAGCTTTGTCTTGTGAAGCAAGTGCAGAATGTGTATCTTTGGCATGAAATCCGAAGTGCTGAGAAATCTTCTTGCCATTGCCCGACCTCAGGCAACCAGGAGAAAGATGTGTGTAGTGAAATAACTCTTGACTTGGCGGATATCAAGACCGGCCGTCATATCATCGGACAATGCCAAGGGTTCCATCTGGACGAAGGTAAGCCAATTTACATAATATGATTGCTACAACGCAAGTATTGATTCGATCTTTGAGTTTTGACATTTGGCAGATGACTCTGTGCCAACTCTGGGAAGAGATTCTAGGCCCAGCAACTATATCAGCCTGTATCCCAGCGCCCCTAGCTCATTGATGATGGAATCACATGGAACCGAGTCACCGAAGAGTACAGCGTCGTCAGGGAAGGTCACAGGAGAGATTGAGGACATGGAATTTGTCTCCAGCCTTGCATGGGACGACGATACCAATTCCTGGACTTTATGCCAATACTCGGATGGGAATCACCTGTGTGAATCGACCCAATCCTCGTTAGAATCTGACTTGCTGTCGATGTCAGATTCATCGGAAGAATTTGAGCCCCTAGCATCTGATGATCCGATGCGGGCAGTCTTGGACGTCGTGGTTTCTCGCCTTGTTTCAGGCTTTCAAAATGCAGCTGGCGGAGAAGTTCCACCTTGTAGCAATGGACAAGACCTCGGAACCGTATCGTCGTCGTCTTCTCACGGCATTACTGCATCTTCAAGAGCCGCAAAAAAAGGTCGAAAGAGAAAACAAGTTCAAGATGACGACTCGGACTCAGAAAAGGACGCAACCAATCCAAAACCTTTAAAAAGGCGCAAGAGAACGCAACACCAAATCAAGCTTCTGGCCTGTCCATTTGGGAAACTGAAGCCCAGCAAGTATTCCGCTTGCTCGCGGTTCCAGCTCAAACGAATCCGGGACGTCAAGCAGCACCTGAAGAGAAAGCACACCCCCGATGATTATTGCAATCGCTGTCTAAGCATCTTTGGCGACGAAGAAAGCCTCATGCAGCACGTGTCGCAACCAGACGGGTTCGGTTGCCAGCTCGCGCCTGAGGGGAGAACGCTAGATGGAATCACCCACCGACAAAGCCGCGGCCTCTCTAGAAAGGCGAACGCTGATTTGTCGGAAGAGCAGCAATGGTTCGAAATCTGGGATATCGTTTTCCCTGGAAAGCCTCGCCCTGAATCCGCTTATCTAGATTCTGCTTTTGCCATGCAGGTTTGTCTCTTCCGGGAGCACTGTGCACGACACGCAGAGCCGCTGCTTGCCCAGAACCTCCGTGCTGCTGGGTTGTTAGACGAACGCAGGGTGGCCGCAGACCAAGAGCAGCTTTTAAGAAGGGTCATTTCTGAGTCTTTGGATTCCGTCTGTGATACTTTCAGCATGAATACCTCTTCTGATTCAGGAATCGGTCGAAGCCGCAACTCAACACGCAATGAGACTCCCGCTGCGTCATTGGTGGATAGCGGAATTGGGGTAGCAAGTCAGATGGCGCATTCCCAGCCGATACCAGCTTTTCTGCCAACTTCAAATAATGCACACCAAGACTTTCAAGGAGGGCCTCCGGACATTCCGTTGAACTTCAAGCTACCGATGGACTTTCAGATACCGATATTAGAAGAGGGAGCAGCGCTTGGCCCGCAACCTTGTACCAACCCGCACCAACTACGAACCTGCAGCCAGTCATCTCTGGGTGACTTTTTCATGGATCACAATCTACGAAGCGTGGAAGAGACGCCAAACGAACTTGGAACGTACAACTTATCAATAGATTCACCTCTTCTCGAACTTTCTTCGTGGGTGTTTTCACAAACAGAACCTGTCCCACACGAAGGAGGTGTTGAAAACGGCCTAAAGTTATGACCACGGGGACTTGGCAATTCGTCATACGTTGAATTTCCTATCTATTTATCTTTTTCTAATGACCTTTCAACATCTTCTTTACTGGATCAGCCATTAGCCTTCACTATCAGAGGTGACTTCCCCTTCCCATCTGTTTCCCTGAGTTCGATTTTCAGTTCGCGAGGGTTGAGTCGATCGAACTCCACATCCGTCTCGTCGGTCTCGTTCAAGCAGACGAAAGCAGTGCCAGGGAATGCTCCTATGGCGCGGATAAAGTCTATATACATTGGTCTCTGTTAGCCAAGCTCGAGGGCATATATCTTCGCCCTTCGAATTCTCTTGAAGTTTCAGATGGTTCTTGCCTAAGATTATGCGGCGCATTCGAGACTTGACAAGTGACCGCTTCGCAACTAGGGGAGCAAAGTTATGAAGGCAAACAATTGCGTCTAATCTCACGGCAAGTTTTAGAACTTTGACTATATCCTGAACTGGATCAGAGTAGTTGTCATCAATGTCGCCGAAGTCAAGAAGGTCCACTCGTAAGCATGCTCGCGTGATGCTTTCGGCCGTATTCACTGCGTATCGTTTAGTACAAAGTTAAAACAACTAAATGCCACGTCATAGTTGCTTGAACTTACCGACTAGGTTTTGAACGTCTACCAAGGGCTCACACCGTACCACAAATAACATTCCCATGGGCGGTCTTGCGATCGATCCCTCTGGTGAGTTGAGTGGTCTGAAGTCTTTGATAAGGCTTGCTACCTCAGGGGAAACGGTCATTCGGCCTTGAAGAGAGGAAACGGAGAACCGAACGGGTCTCAACCAATCGACAGCCACGGTGACTTCCCGCAGGTCGACGGGACATTTGACCACTACATCCCCCGAGCACATAAGATAAGTCTCATCAGACATCTCTTTTGTCACATTCAAGATACAAGGCTCAATGTCCCGTGTTTTAGGGGCTTGCCCACGTTGCTCCGTGCTAGAGTCTATGATGACTCTTCCATTAAGCTGCGTGAAATTTGTGGTATTAGCTCAAGTATGCAAATTGCTCAACTGATCTTACCGTAGCATTCCAGATGTACCATCCCCTCGGTCTCGGCGTTCTGTTAACAACCTCGTCAAGAAGAGAGCCTTCCGTGTGTGTCCACTTGGCGGGACCACTATAATCCCAAAGACTAGCCTCCGAATTGAACAAACGGATGTACTTTCTGCCCCTCTCAATTAATCTCCTTTGAAATCTGTCCAATATTTCAAGAGTACCACTCCCAGGTCATCAATCGTGATTGACTTTTTCCCCCTGAAGTGCCTGATCAACGTTGCACCAGACTCAAGAGAGAATCTCCTCTTTGATGCGATCCACCTCCACTCAAATCCCGAGATGGCAGCAGTCGGACAGTCTCTAACAAGTCGGGTACTGCATGTACTGATTTTCAAGCACCTCTCATGCTTTATCCCGTTCAACCCGGTAGCAGAATCGATGAAGACCAGCTCACCAGGCAAGAACAGGGATTTCAACTCATCGAAGGCGACTTCTCCAAGCTGAACTATGCTTTCTTGCCTGGTAAGTCCACGGTGTTCACCTAGTTGATTCTTTCCAGACAATGCGTTGAAGAGGGTCGATAGCAAGTCTGAGGCATCGCGTTGAAGGCCCATTTCTACGCCTTTGTCTCGAGAAAATGACTCCAGCTGATCCCTGATGAGAACCAAAGTTTTGTAAGGACTTTCGAAGATGATGCTGCGAGAGCTTCGTATCGGAGGGTATGCATTGGCGCAAAAACACATATTGTCAATGTTTGCCATCATTGCTTTGTCCCTGATTGTCATGGGCTGGCTTAAATGTCCGCCGCTTGGAGGCCGGCCACGGGCATTCAGAGGTTCATCATATGCTGAACTCCCCTCAGATGAGCTAGTTGAATCTTCAAAAGGTGGGCTAAACTCCCTTTCTCGTGGTGAGCTGTGTCCGCTTCGTGGGTGATCTGCATCGAGCATGGCGTCTAGGCCCATGACTTCTCGAAATTCCTGGATAAACTTAGGCGACGCCATATTTGAGCTTCGTGGACTTGCCCGCTGATAAGATAGTGTGGCTGAACGAAGCGTTGTGGGCATTGGACAAGGAGGAGACCCTGAACAGATAACTACACAACAGGCTGCAGGCCTTTGTAATACCTCATGTTCATGGCACAAGATACCAAGGTTGTTACTTCGCTTCGTGTAGAAAGCTTAGCTGCATTAAATAGCCTGCAATGGGGAACCTAATTCGTAGAAACGCCGAGAGCCGAGGTCGGTAGATGGCTGACGTTCTTGCCAAGCAGTCAGACGCCATAGAAGCCTTTCTACCGAGCATGCAACTGTCAGTAACTACTAAGACTCAGCGGTTACACAACTCTTTGATTGGTCTCTTTGAATTGTCTCGTACTTCCGTTTTTGGAATAACTCTCCACTATACTTGGGCCATCTCCCATCCCTCAGAATTTCGACTTCATGCTCCCATTTTCTTCTTACACACCTCTGCCTACTTCCTCAATAATACTGACCTCAGCAATAATCGCTCGTGTGCCTTGTACTTTTCCTTTATATGATTCAATGGCTACCTCCAGCTCATACAAAAAGTCGTTGGTAGAGTCTCATGGCATTCGAGCCCTGAGGTTCTGTCGAGCACGTTTTCTA